GGTGCCAGAAAGCACATCCGACGACACCCCTGCCATTTCCATCACCTGTCTCTGAGGGGTGCTAGTTTAAACTGTCTCTGAGAAAGACTGATGGATGATCTGGAAGAGAGAAAGAGCATTGTGGGGCTTATTTAAGCCGGGTTGACCTGAGAAACTGTCGCTGAGGCCATCGTGACAGGGCGGTTGAATGCCAGGGAGAGGAAGATGGGAAACTGTAGGGAAAAGCGTGTGGGTCAGGGCCCTGGGGCCACATCCAGCCTGTGCAGCAACGGGGTCACGGGCAGGAGGTTCAGTCGGTGCCTGGCTGCCTCTTCAGTGCCAGGGGAGCATCGGCAGCAGCTGCTGCTGGGAACATCCCCCTCCCTCCCCTCTTGCTAATGAACGTAGGTGAAACTTGCTGTGCCATGACTTTAATCAGCAAAGAAAACTGCAAAGCCTTTTTGTTTTGGTTCCTTTTTTTTTTTTTTTTTTTTTTTTTTTTTTTCTTTCTCCACCTGCTGAATTCAGCGCCGAATGCGAATTAGGCAGCGTTTGGGCTTGGCTGCATGCCTGCTTCCCCTGCTAATGCAAGGAGGCAGCCTCTCCCGCACATCGAGCCTCCCGGGCTAAGCTACGGCGCGCCTGGATCAGCCCTTTGCATCTCACACTGTGCGCAATAACCCCCGGAACTTAAAGGCTGCTTGCCGCAGGCTTGGCCTGTGCAAATCCTCTGAGCGCTGGCCCAACAAGGTCAGCCCGTTCCGGGGAGCAGGACTGGCCCGTGGCACCCATGGGTGGCCAGGCAGAGTGGCTCTGGCTGTGGCAGTGGGCTGGGGGGCGAGGAGATGCCACAGCAACCTTGGGATCTGAGCCTGCAGCAAGCTTGTGGGTGCATTAGCCCGTGGCCAGCATGCAGAACCTGGGGCCAGTGTGCAGGCAGCGCGCTCAGCAGTGACCAGCAGCCAGGGGAAGGTGTCCCAGAGCCCCGTGTGCGTGGGGGGATGCTGGAGCGGTACCCCCAGGCTCACCTACGGGGTCTGTCAGCATGGCAGGAGTAATTTGCAGCTCCATTAGCACTTGGAGTTGACACAGCGGCCCCACAATGTGTCCATTTGATAAGAGGCAAGTTCCACTGAATAATGAGCAGTAATTGGATTTCAGGGTTAACCAGCTTGCAGCAAAAATAGAAAAGAACGGAGAGCCATTGGATATTTCTGTTCTGGCTCATCAGACACTGGAGGTTTATCTCTGCTGAGAATAGCACAGGAGAGGTAAAGTTATTAGTGACCATCAGAGCATGGTGATACCATCTCCCTCTTGTGTTTAGTGGGATGAGTCTGCGCGTCCTCCGTGAGTTTCATTTAAGGCTATGGGAGTTTATAACCCCCTGTGGGAGAGCTCTGCTCGACCACCGTTGCAGTGCAGCCGAGAGGAGAGAAACCAGCCCCCTTTAGTATGCAGGAGCACCCAACCTCTCTGCCGTCAGCCAGAGGGGAAGGCAGGAGCCGGCAGCCTGGGGAGCGGGCTGGGACGGCCACCAGCAGGCACAAGCCAAGGTGTCACCTCATCCAGGTGACAATCTGGCACGGGGAAGGCTGGCACACGTGCGGCACCATCGTGCTTGGAGCTGCAGTCGCCCGCTTCGGGGTGGCATCAGCAGAGGTGGAGCGGGCACCGGCGGCTGTGCCGGGAGCTGGGAGATGCCGTCTGAAGTGCCACACGCGGCCACGATGGCCCGTCTTCCAGCAAGATTCATTCATGCTGGAAGCGGTGTGGAGAAGGGCTATTAGCATGGTGGGGGGAACGGAGAGCCTGTCTTACAAGACGAGACTGAAAGCACTTGGCTTTGTTTAGCCCAGCAAAGGGAAGGCAAAGCAAGGATATGATTACTCTCCATAAATACATCAAGCAAGTAAACACCAGGTACAGAAAGGAACCATTTAAGCTAAAAGAATGTGCTGGCACAAGAACAAATAGGTTTAAACTGGCTAATGTAGGCTGGAAATTAGGAGACAGTTTTTAACCATGGGAGTTACAAGACAGTTTTTAGCCATGGGAAGCAGAGGAGGAAAAATACTGCAACTGCAGGGGCCTGAAGTGGGACTCGGCAGGGTCCTGCCCGCTCCAGGCTCTTCCAAGAGCTAGCGTGCCCTGAGCTCCGCAATTTCCTAGGGCAGGGAGCATCGTTCCAGCAGGCAGGGACAGCCGGCGCCAGCCTTCTTCTGCTCGGGGGGCTGGCAGGTACCCAGCTCCTGGGACAGCCCCCCAAAGTGCTTGGGAGCAGAGGGGGTGAAGAGCCAGAGGCAGCCAGCATCGGCCCTTGGCAGAGAAGGCACCACAGGAGCTGAAGCATCCGCTGACCTGAGTGGGGCAGCTCACAGCACCCAGATTTGGGCTGGCAACCTTATGCTGTCACTGCTTTTTCTGGATTTTCTCTGGAAATGGCGCACAGCTGGGCCACCAACTCCAGATTTTACCTCTTGCATGAAATTATTCTGAATTCCCTGTGTATTCTAGGGCCTGCGTAAAGGATGGGTGAAGAATCTGCTGATGAGGACTCTAATCAGTTTTGAGAGCAGGTAATTTCTCAGCTAGAGATCATCTCCAAACAGGAAATCAGATTCAGGAGATAGCTGCTTTATGCAGCACGTCATGGTGGACTAGAGCAAAGCTTGTTGTAATAATAAGCAGAGCTGGAATAAGAAGATCATTACTAACATTATGCATTAATTACTTTACAATCCTCCTACCAGGTGGGTTTTCCTATCTCACTCATCTCTAATGTTAATGATATAGGAATAATTCTAGACCCAATCCTGGCATCTGGGCAGGAGTTTTGGATGCTGATCTCCTTCCTGAAGCAGGAGGAAAGACATTCCCTGCCTTCGGCGCGTTCTGAGTCTGGCACCGTGCCTGGGATCATAGTAAGACACAAAAGCATCTGATGGAAGCGACCACTGGATGGAGCCTCAAAGGTCATAACAATACCCGGTTCTGGTGCAGATGGTGTTCACTGATGAAAAACGCCAAGCACGAAGGCAGTGAGCATCAGTACTGCGGCGTGAGGTACGGAGGGATGCTGCCTGCGCTCCTGCCGCAGGGCCGGGGCTGGGCAGTGGTGCTGAGCACACAGCCCTGCTCCCAGATCCGTGCCCTGGAGCCAGCTGCCTGCACCTCTGCCTGCTCCTGACCCCGGAGCCAGCTGCCTGCACCTCTGCCTGTTCCTGACCCCAGAGCCAGCTGCCTGCACCTCTGCCTGACCCGGGAGCTGCCTGCCCTTGTGGTGGCTGTAGTTTCCTCTGGGCAGGGAGCACCCACATTTCCCCCCACCTCCCCGGGCTGCACAGGCTGGGATGCTCTATAAAACTTCACCAAACACATTGTTTCACTGCAAGGCAAAGAGAGATAACGTAGCCGTGTGAAGAGAATTCCAGTTTTCATTAAAACCCACAGACCTGCAAGCCTCTGCTCCTGCTTGAATAAGGATGAGGATAATATTGGCAGGAGAAAATGAAAACATCTGATGATACCTGAAGCAAGAGCGTGTCAGGAAGGGGGCTCGCAGCTAGGCTTGTGGAAGGGAGCCCAGAGCCTTTCCCCGGGGCAGGATCCCGTGTGCTGAGCCCTCGGCGGCTCCTCTCCCCCCAGCCCTGGGAAGGGGTAAGGCAAACCTGGCCAGAGGGATAAGCTTAGATCTGGGAACAGAACAACACACAATTCAATCATCTTGCAAACTTGCAACAGAGCACCCCGAAGGCTGCGTAGCCATGGGGTTTACGGATGAGTGCATGAACATGCTCACTAAAAGCGGGCCTGTGGAGGGAGCGAGAGCTGCTCGGGGAGGGGGGATCACTGCTGCAGATCCGTACGCCTTTCTGCAAAGATTAGTGTCTCCTGCACCAGGCAGCCCGTGCTGGGTGTACAGACACGAGCACCACACGTGTGCGGGACGTGGTGTGAGTTGGTCTCACAGAGAAATGGTTGAGGATGCTCCTGCAAGGCCAGGAGGAGCTGTTTGGGCATGTGGTGCAAGGAGAGGGGCTTCCTCCACGGGCAGCTGGGCTGCAGAGCTGGCAGCTTGGGCCCATCATCTCCAGGCAGAGATACTAGCATGGTTGCTGAACGTACCAAGCGCCAAGTAAGGCTACGGCTTCCCTCAGGCCCTGCTGACATGTCATACAGATAAAATCTTCCTTGGGAAGCCCCTCCGGCAAGGCACCGGCTGCTGGCGGTGCCGTGCACCTGGGGACAGTTTGGTCCAGTGTCCCCCGATCCCAACGGGACTGGGGTTCACTGGGAAAGCGGAGGGCAGTGGATAACCTGCCCCAACCACAGCCAGCTCTTCTCTCCCCAGGGATCCAGGAATGTTTATCCCCCCACTGGGTTGGTACCGCTGCCAGGTTGTTGGGGGGGGTGAAGTGTCTCTTCCTGTCGCAAAATAACGCAAGTGGGTTTGCTTTGTGTCCTGGTGGCTGGAGCTCAGCATCGGGGCTGCCTGTGCCCTGCACTGGAGGACACAGCTGAGCCCTGACAGCTCGACGCACTGATGGCCGCAAAGGCTTTGTGGCCATCAGTGTGTTGAGCTGTCAGGGCTCAGCTGCATTGCACACCCAGCCCCCCAGGGAGCCCAAGGGAGGCCAGGGGGGTGATGGACAGCCCCGGGGGGTGCTGTACATCCCGGGGGGGGAGGTGTGGGGAGCTGCAGACCCCCCCACGGACTGACTATGCGGGCGCTCTCTCTTTAAAGCAATCCCGGCCGCGATTTGTCACCGGGGCCGGGAGCGGGGAGGCGGGAGCGGGGAGGCGGGGGGGGGGGCGCGGCGCCTCGGTACGGCGGTGGCGGCTGCGGGAGGTGCCCGGTGCCGCGGCGGAGAGCGGAGCCTTGAAGCCGCGTTACCGCGGGGGGGCCGGCAGCAGCCGCCAGCCCCGGGGTATGCGCTCCCCCCCGCCGGCGGAGCGGGGTGTGGGTAAGCGGGAGCGGAGGAGCGCGGAGCCAAGCGGATGAGCGGCGGGGAGCGGGGCGGAGGAGCCCGGCCGAGCCCCGAGCGGCGGAGGATGCGCCGAGCCCCGCGGAACCGAGCCCAGCTGCAGCGCGGCGCGTCTCGCCCGGCCGCCGCTCGAGCCCTCGGAGGTAACGGCGGCGGAGGGGAGCGGGGAGCGGGGCAACCGGGGCGGGTATCCATCCCCCGGGGCGGGGTGGGGTGGGTGGGGGGCACCCTGCCACCGCCCTGCGGCTCCTCAGAGCATCGCTCAGCAAAGTGCTACCCAGCTCCCTCACCCCGGGAGGGCTCCCCGCCTCCTCCGGCTCAAGGGGTTCCTTGGGGCTGGCAAGTGGGGGTCACCGTGCTCTCGGCTCCCCCCGAGCTGCTGGAGGGCCAGCCCGGAGCGATGGCAGATGCTCAGAGCCGACCTCAAAACCGCTGCGATCGAAGCTTGGCTTTGAGGTTGGATGCATCCAGTAACCTCAGGCAGCGCGCACGGGAGACGGGCAGAGCCTGGCGTGGGGCTGCCGGCAGGCCCGCTGCTTGCCCGCCTTGCCACCCGCCCCCCAAAACCGGCCAACTTTGGGCTGACTCCACAGGATGCCTGGCACCCAGCGCTGCCGGTAGCTGCGTGTGCAATGGGAGCTAGTTTCTGCCTTAGGCTGGAGCTAGAGGAGATGAGAAGGGTGCCTGGACCATCATGGCTAGACTTCCAGGGACCAACGGCTCAAGGACGGATGATACCCCAGGTTTAGCAACGAGAAGGGTTCGATTCAGCCCCAGACATTTGATTTCCAGCTCTTCATTCACCAGATGATCTGCCCTGCTAGGGAAGCTGCCTGTACCCATCTTACGTCTTGCTCAGCTTCCCTGCCAAATTAGGGCAAATTGCAAAACTGTCCTTCTGCCCCAACCCCCCCCTCCCCCCGCCCATGTCTCTGTTGAGAAACTGAGTCTCATCTCATGTTCCTTGACTTGTACAGGAGCAGCCCACTGCAACAGCAACTGGAGGGCCCCAGGGCTCTCCTTTTATCTGCTGCGCTGCTAACAGAGGAGAGAGAGGGGTTTAATTATCCTCAAGTGTCAGTTCAAGATAAATCTGCTGGGACACAGCTCTTGGCAGGTGTGAAATAACAGGACATTTTCATGCATGGGAGGCTGAGCTGAGAACAGTTCAGTGGTTTAATTGGTGGCTCCTAGGAAAGGTTCGTGTCAGGGTACAGAAAATGGGACGGTGCAGGCTCCAGCAGTGATCCTGGTGCTACAGCTGGGGCAAGGGGAAGATGGATGCTGAAGGCAAAGAACTTTCCCCGGTGCGTTGCTTGAGGGGCTTGATGCAGAGCGAGTGGTCTGGGCTGGTAGTGCAGCCTCAAGCCGATGCCGTTCTCCAAGGGGCTGATGCTTTTCCAGCAGTGCTTCATTGCTGCTTGTCTTTTCAGTCGGTTCCCAAGGGAGCCCTTGCGGGGCCATCAGAAGACATGCCCTGTTTTATGGGGTACCCGGGGAGCCAAGAACAAGGGAATTACCTCCGGAACCAGGGCACTCCGGAGCTGTCTTCTAAGCAATGTAAGCGGGGATGGCCTCAGGGTTTATTGAACAGCTTCTCCTTCCTCTTCCTGCCAAAAATCCCTGAAATGCTTTACAGGAGCTCTCGAGATAAGCATTTGAAGAGTTTCAGTTCTCCAATTCCATGGGGAAAAGCCTCTTCCCTCTCCAAATTGTTGCAGCAGGGGAGCTCGGCACCCACGGGGGATGTCCCCGCCCTGCCAGGGCTGCAGTGCTGGGATGCATGAAGCATCTGCCTCCTCGTCTCCCGTCCCGCCCTGTGCTGTGCTCGTTGGCCCCTGGAGCCGGATTCGGATCAGAGAGCAGAAGCTCCTCCACACAGTCCTCCAGCTCTGGCATCCCACCGTGGCCGTATCGCTACCACGAAACGAGCCCTTTTTGCGGCCAGCCCCTGTAACGTGTCGGTCTGGGACACACCAGCGGGAGGAAGGAGGACATCATGTTTTACTTTATTGTTCATTCAGATTTGCTGAGCTCTTCTCTGTTCTCATTCCTCAGCTGTCCCAGGGGGGTGCGGGACAGATGTTTTAAAGAAACAGTGCCCCTCATCCCTGCTGGCTCGTTGGAGGAGATGTGGATACGAGGAGCTGGTGCCGCTGCTTTTCCAGATGAAGCTGTGGTGGTGTGTTGTTATTGTAGTTATGTTCCTTGTTTTAGGGTCCAAGATAATGATTTAGCTGCACTTCATTTCAGCGCTGGGTGGAACAAGCCAGCCTCTGTGTAGTTCCCACCAGCATGTAACAGCAGCTGGCGTTAGAGGTCTGGGCTTGGTCTTGTCTCATCTGTACTGGCCACTGTCAGTTCTGGCTCCTCTTGTTAATCGCTGGTGTCTCTTGCTCACACTGTAAGGAGACATTCACCAAATGTCCTTGTAAGACGGTGAGTTTTGTAGATGCGCAGATATGGTGTTTTCAGGAAGACCCAGTTATTAGACGTCATCTCAGTGCCGTCCCCTTTCCATTTGTGCTTAGTGAATGCCACCGTTTGCTTGCAGCCGTGCTCCAGCCCTGCCAGAGTTGCATCCCCCATTTGCAAATCTGCATTAGTCAAACTCGCAGGTTGTTGTTTGGGTGCAAACCTTGTTGATGCTCCTGGTGCTGACCGCTGTGGCCTGCGTGGTGCTGGTCCTGATGCAGGATAGCTGGGTGTCTGGCATTGGATTCCTTGGCCAAGGAGAGCTCTGAGAAGAGGCTTTCTTTCCCTTGCCATAGTTAGCTGTGCTTGAGTCTCTGACAAAGGCATTTTGGAGGTATGATTGAGGAGCAGAGACTCTTCCTCACTTCTTCCTGGAGGTCAAGCTGCCGTGAGATGGGCTGGACCAAGGGAGAGCAGAACCCTCACTCATTTCAGCTGCAACAAGCTTTTGATACCACCTGTGGCAGAAGCATATTTAGACTTGATGTATATCCCCCACCTTGACTTTGGGCTTTGGATCAAGGCATAAGAGCTTTCGGCGCATGCACACACAATATGGGAAAAAAAAATATAATTAAAATCACAATCCTCAAAATGTTTGCAAATCCAGGAGCTTATCCTCACCCCGGGTAGGCAAAATTAACCAAGGGTAGGATCAGTAAATCACAGAATCAGCCACTTTCATCATCAAACATGAGGCGGCTGGGAGCACAGCCGGCACAAAGCAATGTAACCACACTGAGTCTTTGCAGGGATGCTCAGGATCTGGCACCACAGGTTTTTTCTTTAATACCATTGCAGCGAGTGGTTTGAGAACCAGCAGGGCACCCAGTGATACATGGTCAGGGTACAGGGTCTCGGATGGGTCTGTTAAGAAAAAAAGGCTTCTTGACGTACCAAGGGCACCCACTGAACATAGCCCTTGCCAGGGCAGTGGGAGGAACAGTGGCTGATTCAGGACTAAATGGGCTGAGCTAATGTAAGCTCCCGCCTTTGTCAAAGGGGTCTGATAACTTCTCCCTCCTCAGCACTTCAGTTTTTGGTTGAAATCCCACACTTTTAGCATGGGGAAGAGATTTAAGCCATCCCTGCAAAGCTGGGAACATCCCATATGGAGATCAGCACATAGATGCCAGCAGTAACAACCATAAAAGGGCTGGTTGTCCAGCATTCCATTGCTTTAGCCACTCTCCTACCTCCACTTGCCATCAAAGTCCACCTTCAGCGAGGCCGGCCTCTGCTGCTCAGCAGTGGCCATCATCTCTCGGTACTTAGGGGAACATCAGGGAGGTGGAGTGGAGCCATACGGCAAGGTAGGAAGGGATCAGGCTGCCCTGGCATATCAGCATCTGTGGTGCACGAGACCTCGAGGCAGCTGACCATATGCAGGGCACATGTCGGCAGCAGTGGGGAGAAGTTGGCTTGGCATCTGGCCTTCAAATATCTCCTTCTGCCACACTGAGACCAAGCTCAGAGCGGGCAGAAGTGGGGCAGGCGGCATCTCCGTCACCTGCGCTTGCGTTGAGCCAGGCTGGCGTGTGCTCTGTGGGCAGCAGTGAGCCCAGGCTGCCCTGGGGCAAGGTGCGAGTGGAAAAGAACAGCACAGGTCTCAATAAAGTTGGCAGGGGCTCCAGAAACCCAGCACGCAGGGAGCAGTGCAAACGTCTGAAGGGGTTTTTTTGATGTGTTTGGATCTGGGATGTCAGCCGGAGCAGCAGCAGCTCCCGAGTACCCCAGTGGTGTCGGAGTCTGGGGTCAGGCCAGTCCATCTGGAGCTTCATGGCATTATCTCTTAAATGCCTTTAACTGCAATAGGATGGCCTGACTGATTGGATTGTGCTCTGTAATTAATTAGCTGGGTACGCTGTACGGGAAGCAGCTACAGTGGGAAGAGAGGGGGGAATCTGACGGTGAGAGACATGAAGCTTCAAATGGCCATTTCTCATTAAACCAGCCTCATGCAGCATTACTCACTGGGCACAGGGGGGTTAGTTCCAGTGTCCGGGCCCCTTTCCAGGCAAGTAATCGCGTCTTTGCTGCCCGATCGTTCCCCCGGTGCCCGGTGTGCTGTACCCCGCTCCCGCTGTGGGAGCCACCAACCCGCCGGGCCTCGGGGACCTGCTGGGAGGAGAGAGCCGGTGCAGGCTGGGGGGTCTGTGGGGGTGGTGATGAGGGGGTGCCCCCTCTCCTCAGGAAGCCCTTGCCAGGCTGACAAGCCCTGCAAGGATTGTGCAGCCCGAGCCGCCCCGCAGGTTGCCTGCCCGTGCCGGTGGTGGCTCCGGTGTGTCAGAGGCTCCTGGCATGGCTGGCACCGGCCCCGCTGCCCTTCCCTCCCTTGCCGGGGCCTGGGGGCTGCTCCCCGCTCTTCCTGCCATGCATTTGCTCCGGCTCCTTTGTCTGCTTTTAGCATCCATTTGTATCTTTAAACAGAAAGCATCCTTCTTAGGTTAATTGGTTTTTTTTTTCCCCCCCTTTGTGTTTACTGTGGGGATTAATAAGGAACTGCAGCATAAGGGAAATCTGCAACAGCTCCTTGTTTATTGTTTAATTTAGGAAAATGATACTGGGCTGGGCTTAGCCCGCCTGGTGCTGGTGCTGGGCCAGGGAGGGCAGGGAGAGCCTCCTCGTGCCCAGGGGATGGGCTGGGAGCCGTGGGGCTCCGCTGGCC